AGCTGCTACAGTGGGAGGAGAGGGAGTTGGTGCTGAGAGGACGTAAGAGGGGGTCTAGGGGTACCACCTCTGAAATACAAGGGAGAGTCAGTCAGTGGGTTGTAACCAGTAATACTGCCTCCCATTTGCTGACTCCCTGCCCTCTGACAGATGTACTGTTAGCCTCTTAGAAATATTATTTCACGTTCAGCCGTTCTTTCCAAACCACTGCAAAGTGTGACAAAAATGGTTCCACTAAAATTCCAACTCCTAGAGAATTTTGTGTAAACTAGCAAAATAAGTGTATAGTCAAAGACAAATCTCCAGTTATTGCACATCCCAGCAACATTTGATATTGTGCCTGGGCTGTCATGCTCTAATGTGCACATTCAGCTCTTCAGAGATTGTTGGTGCCACTCAAAAGAACTTTACCTACAGTTGGGGTATGCTGCAGCCAGGGGACAATCATGATGGGTTACAATATCCAAACTTCTAAACTGTGTGTTTCAGAGAGAGAAATTGGTGCTCTTCTGCTAGTTTTCATACCTTTTACCCAACTATTTATGTCTTTCTTTAAAAAGTACCTAAAATATGTGTACTGCTTTGTAATCTACAAAATGCCCTCTACCACCAAGATAAGCTCTCTTAGAGTGGGGCCATATCTGTTTTGCTCACTTTTGTACACCACCACCTGGCAGTGCCTAGCACATAATTGATGCACAACAAATATTTAAAGAATAAGGGAATAAATATATATATGACATTTTTGTAACAGCTTTGAGAGCAAAAGAGACATTGTAATCTCTACATTTTGTAAACTAGGCTGTTGTCTAAAAGGTGAACTGATTTTTGTCTAGGGCCATATCATTAGTATATAAATAAGCCAGAACCTCAAGCCCAAGTCTTCTGGCTTTACATTGAGTGTTCTTTCTGTCACCTCAATGAACTTAAAAGTCATCATCAACCATTAATGTTAATAACACTAAAACTAGAATAAAATGTAGTGGGAAGAAAACATAAACTACCAAAATTAACTACAAAATCGTCCGTTTGTCATAGTCATCACAGACCTTTTGAAAATAGTACCATAACCAAAAATCAAATCCTGGTCCTGCCCCCGTGGACCATGGTCCCTTTAAACTCTGGCATCCACTTCAAGGCCTCAGGCACTTTAATAACAAAATTTATCTACAGCTCTTCTCTGACAGCTATAGGATCTTTCTTGGCATTCTTACTACCTCTTTCTTGCTTTCCAAATCTAATCCATTCCATTCAAGGAAGTTAGCCAGCTGTCAGTGAAATCATAGGGAAGACCAGAACTTTACATTTTACAAAACCCAAATCTGTTTCTTTCAACTCTGAGTAATTGAATTTCTGTCCTTTTGGCATGATTTCCATGTACTTTCCTCTTCCAGGTCAGTAAAGAGCAAATTTGTCACTCTAGCCACTAAAAAGAAGATTGCTACCTTCTGTCAGCTGTGTTTTGAAGGGGTCCTTTGACACCAGTACCACATGAACAAGCAAGGCAAGCCCTGGCATCCTACCATTGTTATAGGCTTTTGGGGGCACACATTTTTAAAAGAATTGACATTTGGATTTGGAGCAACATTTTAAAACAGAAAACTCACCAGGCACTTAAACCCAAGGGGTTAATCTGTGTTTAGTTTTTTAGAAACACATCTGAAGGTCTCAGTGTGGACCCCTGAGTGGAGTAGGGTAGGTGCTGGGGAGGGTAGACTAGTGAGTAGGGTGTGATACTGGTTTTGTTTCTCCTTCAGCTGATAACAGGCTGTAGAGTGGAGTAAAGAGAAAGGAATTGAAATTCTTAACTAGGAAGACCACAAAGATCTTATCTGTCTGATGTTTATGAACCTTCAGACCTCAGTCCCTAGACACGGACGCTGTCTGGTCTCTAGGTCCAGTGCCCTTTCTCTACCCTTCCCCAGTACTATTCTTTAACTTTTCAAGAACTTAAAAAAAAAATAGAAATTGTAAGTAAATGTTTCACAAATTAGTATAAATTGCAAAGTTTTTGTTTTGTTTTTTACAATATAAAACCCTTTCATACCACGTATTTGCTACATGCAACCTAGACACATATGTGAATATCAGTACCTTAGGATAAAATTCAAAACTGTGACTTTGGGGTCTTGACACATATTGAGGATATACACATACTCTTCTTGAAGGACCTAATGTCTCACTACCTCTGATGTATGCCTTTCAGGGTCCACCATAGAGTAGAATCTCAACAAATTGATGTTAAATGAATTAATGAGAACGTCAGCCATTCCCTTAGAACTAATAACAATTTCAGCCCAATATGCAATAAAAAATAATTATCTCTGTATTTAACACAGTGGGTAACTTTTTGGAGAGAGGCAACCAATGATTTATTTTTTATTTAAAAATTTTTATTGTTATTAACATCAGCATATGCACTGCTTTGGAAGGTTATAATAATATTTCATAAATCTCTGTCTCAAACTAAGCATGCATTTTTCAGACGTGTTCTGAAAATGAAATTGCTGTCTTTTTGAACCTTTACTGACCTGACATGTGGTTTGACCAGGAGCTCTCTTTCTGTTCGTCCCTAGGGCCACAGATTTTTTTCCTTCTTTTTTTCCAATATTACCACTTATCTCTTGAAGTGGTGGTGGTTGTTTCTTTGGAGGGGGGTACAATTATTGCATTTTGTCCTGTTCATAAAAATTAAGTCTCCAAGAGATAGAAATTTTTTTTCCTCAGTTTGTTCAGGTTGAAGCTATGTGTTCCTTCTAACATATTATCCTTGTGAAACCTGTGGTCAGCCTAAAACAGGAAGCTTGATTTTGTTTTCATATTTTTTTATCAACAGCAATATAGTTCTAATGGCTGAAAGTATCTTGTGCTTTTATTCTTACTATTCACAGCTTTGTCTTAAGAATTATATTGAGTAATTTAGATGTATCTCTTTTACAGGGTGTTTTTATTAGTAATGCTCAGTCTGATGGGTTCTTGCCAGGAAATGTTTTTCCTATCAGGGTCAGAGTGGGAGTTGAGTTGATAGCATGTGACACTGGCTTGCTTTATTCTAAGTTTAATTTTCTGCTTTTTAGTCAGCACTCTGGCCCCACTCTTCTCTTTTACATTGAAGAATTTTAGAAGTTAAAACTGCCCTCACATTTCAAATCATCATTGCTGGAACATTGCTAGCACCCAAACTCCTGACATTTCACACGTTCAAATAGTAGCATTGACAGAACCCTGGTTTTCACGAACAGCTGAGACTATTGAATTTCTTACCCTTAAGTTCCTTACATCATCACTGGCCTAAGATTGTGCTTAAATTTTTAGTAACTATATACATGGTATGTATGTATGTATGGGCTAGTCTTTCACAGTATTGCAATTTAAAAATTCTTGACCTGAGTACAGTGGTTATGAACTCTTGAACTGGAGAGCCCTTCCCTGGTTTCCTCCACTCACCCTGGGAGAACTGCCCAGAGAACAAGGGACAAGAGGAGACTTTTCACTGGGGTGATCATAGTCATCAGAAACAGATGTTACAGCCAGGTCTCCCTGTTGCCCTGACTATATATAGCGGGTGAACAATCCAAGGGAACAACTCTGTGGTATGACTTTCCTCTTAGAGGAAGAAAGCTTTTCTGGTCTTGAGTACAAGGTAGTCTATTTCACTTTCACTTACAATAGGTTCCTGATATTTTTCTCTCCTACCTCCCAGATAAGACGACTTGTACCTTACAATTAGTTGATTTCAACTAATTTCTGAATTATATTTGTTTGCTCATCAAGAGTTTTCTCAATTTTTTCCACCAGAAAAACAGAATTAATAACACCTGAACCTCCATATCCCAAAGTATATATAAATTGGCTCCTCAAAAGAAAAATAGTGTATCTATTTATATACCATAGCATATGACAGAACCAAAAGCTAGTTATATATTTAGAATCTGAAAATGTCAGTTCAGAAAGTTGATTATAGTTCTTGGCCTTTAATCTCAACTTTTCTAAATAAGCAGCTTAGATAACATTATAGAAAAAGATTCTCCTTAATATTGTTACTGTTAACATCCATGATTTTACAATACAGTAAAATTTTCTGTTCTGTAGAAAAGGAATTCTCAGTATTTGCAATTAATTCTAGAAGGCATTCTGAAGTAATATTCCACTCCAAGTAAAAGTAATTTCTTTAGAGTTACAGTAAAGCAGCATTTTGTTTTAACATTTTTTTCCTACAAAATAATGATAATCAAAGTTCTTACTGAGCCCTGTGGATATTAGGACTAATCACATGCATTATCTCCTATAAGCCTGCAAGACAGGTACTGCTCTTATACTCTGATAGAAAACTGGGCTCTCAGTCTTATTGCCAGAAGTCATAGCTTGTAGGTGATGAAACTGGGGTTTGATCCAAGATAATCTGACTTCAGACTCCTGTACTGTTAAATCTCCTATACTGTCCTGAAATCTTGTATTTTGTCCAATCTTTAACTTACTTTACAGATCAGATTTGATTTTGTCAGAAGTTTCTCCCAGAAGTAATTTTTTAAGATCAAAATGGTCATTCTGTATAACTTAACTTTTACCTTTGGAGATAAAATGTTATAATAGATATTTAGCTTTTATAAGCTTTGGTAAATATCTTCCTTCTTTTTCTTTTTTTTTGGTCTGCTAATGTGAGTGTGTGTATACACACACACACATACACATGAAGAAACTGAAGGAGAGTTTTAAATTTCAATTTTGAAAGACTGACCATCAGTTTAGAGAAATAATGACAGAAATGGAAAAACAATGAAAGAAAATGCCTAATTTAACTTTTTTTTCTTTTTAACCTGTACGAAAATAGTCCTTTTACCATTTGGCCCTCAGAAGGAAATAGACAGTGGTAGTGTTACTTTCTGTTTCTCCTTAGAAAACTCTAAGGCAGTAGTACAAAGCACAGTAATGCCGTCAAGGGAGATGGGTAGCTTCTTTCCATTAACTGCTTTTTTTTCCCTCCCTCATCTTGATTTCAGGTGTCAGAAACTATTTAAAAGAAGCATTGGTGAATATAATTGCTGTGCATGCAGAGGTAAGCTATCATTAGATGTTCCTGAGAAATATGGGTAACTGGAAAAAAGAAAAAGAGGCAAATTTGATGGTTTTTATGGTAGTCTTTTTTCCCTTCAGAATATATCTTGAGCATAAATAAAACACAACTCTGTCTTCATGCATGCACACACACACGTGTGCTTTTTAACTATGAGAGTTTTTTTTCTGAAATTGTGTGTGTTTAAAACTAAATTCGTTAATGTTCAAAAGGTAAGGAGAAGAGAGATTTGAAAAGGTTTTTTTCCTTATCTTGAATTGAAAGGTATATTAAATCCCTTATCTTGGAAAATTCATTAACCTTTTTTTAACCAGGATACAAATAAGCTCTGGTGTCTTATTCATGTAGCAATGTGTTCTTACATAGAGCCTGGGATTCCAGAAAACTTAGACTTGTTAGAAAGATAGGCTGAAAGGGCAGCCTGAGATTAGGAAGCAGGTGCATGGTTTCCTATCAGCAGCTGACTAGGTACATGTAGATGTTGATGCCTCTGGTTCTTGCTAAAGCTTGCCCTCACTTGAAGCATTATCATCTTAAGCTTTACATTAACCTCCTTTGTTAACATCCTTCTTAGAAGGACTCTTCTAAGGAACATCAAAAGAGGCGCGGCTATCACCATTATCACCACTATGACTACCTATTCTATAATTTCACAATCCATTACTCACTGCTTTGCCAGTACTTTCAGAGTTGTTATAGCTCATAGACTGATGGGTGACCAGATAAAACGGGGCCCACCAAAGAGGTTATCATTAGATAATTTCCACTGTTGCTTGAGTGCCTTTTAAGCTGTATGGAGCTGATGTAGGTGTATTTAGCTTATACCACTGTCTTCATCCAAAATTATTAGAGGTTGTCAAGGTAAACTGGAAAAACATGGATAATCCAGGCTAAAACAAAAGAGTAACCAAAGGAAACAGAGAATGCTATCTTGTTCCTAAATTTGGCTCTACATTTGAAGCAACTAGAGCAGAAAGAGAAATATAGTATGTTATAGTTTTCATTTCTTAATAAAGGAAAACACATACATTCCTTTATAAATAAAGTTTATATATGATTTAACTCTAGCAAGAATTTATCATACATTTTAAAATTATTTTTATCATGATTTTATCAAAGATATACAAATGCTTTCTTATTATGTTAGCTTCCAATAAAATTAGAGGATAAAATTAAATCATCAGTCAGTGAAAGCATTTCTGTGGTAGATGGACAGGTGGTAGTCAGAGGAATTGCAAAATATGTAAGCATTTTTAGTGATGATGGTGATTCTTAAAGAGGCAGCTTTTATTAATGTTCACTATCAATAACGATGATTTGTATTAGGTTTTTCAAACCCCCTTTTAATTTTTCTCAATGACTAAAAGTAGAATTTCATTCACAATGTTTATTATTTAGTATTTCCTACATGATCTTGACAAATTTATAAATCAGCATAGTAAATTGTTTCACCACATTTTCAAATATAATAGCTCTTAGCCTGAAAATATCAAAATTCAAAGTTTGAAAATAATGTTTTATGTCCAATGAAAGGAAATACATATTAAATTCAGCAAATAGTAAAACTGGGGACTTTGTTGTCCAATACACAGTAAAGTGCCCAGTATGACATGGTGTTTGTTTTAATCTAAGAAGAGTCTGACCCGGTATGTTTTTCTTTTAATTGTGGTAAAAAACTGACACAGTATATTTTTATTTCTATAATTTCCTCTTTAAATATTTCTTTTTGTGAAAAGGGCAAGAGGAAGAAGAAATCTTTGAAACTATTTTTAGTTTGTCAATATCAACAATACCTTTCAGATTATATTTGCCAATATATTTTAAGAGGATTAGTTTTGGCATGAATCACTTAATACAACTTAAGTATAAGTCTATATCTTCCTTTCATTCATAATTATGATCCTTTAAAAATATGACTTAGAAGACCTGTGAGTTACTTCGTTTTGTGCATTTCTTTGTTTTTAACAAATTCAAGTCAGGAAATGTTCCCATAATGCATCATTTCTTCTTACTTTAAACCCTTCCATCAGGTGTTCACTATTTCCAAAGAATTGGTACCTCGAGTTCTATCCAAGGTGGTGGAAGCAGTTTCTGAAGAGCTAAGTCGACTGATGCAGTGTGTTTCATCCTTTAGTAAAAATGGAGCATTACAGGTACCAAAATAATTCAGTTCCATGTTGAACTTTTATTTCATTTAAAACATATAAATGTATTTTTAATCATCAGTCTTATGATATACAGACAGGTTTGGGGGTGTTTTTTTTTTTATGTATCCGCTGATTTGTCATCTACTATCATATCTTTTTTATAAGCCATACCCATGCATTGTCTACAAGTTTTAGAGTTTCTGTTTCTTTGGAGTAGGGCAAGACCTTAATGACTCTTGTGAAATTATCTGAATGCAAATTCCTTCTAAAGTTGTGTGATTTTTTTTTTTTTTTTTTAGTTTACAACTGTCTTCACTAAATTCAGTTTCACAAGAAATTTTTAGCGACTTTTAATAAATCTTTTCAAACCATTCAGTGCAGTTTTCATAGAAATGACAACAGTCCCTTTGTTCTCATAATCCATTGGTTTATGTTGTAGTTTTTTAAATTACATAATTATAATAACAAATATAACTTCTATAAACCAGATACTTCTTGGTATGTATATAATCAAACTGATAGCAGCCTGGGTATGCACGCATATGGGAGAGTTACTTGCTACCTGTGAACTGCAGTGATTTAGAGCATCGCAAATGTGTTTTTTTAAAAGTACTGGCAATTTTGCTTCCAGTAGTGGCTGAGGAAGTTTCTGTCAGGCCAACTCCCTACAGATAACAACTATAATCTTGAATAATGTAGAAAAATAAAAAGTATAAAAACACAAACCTGAAGATACTGGAGAATGACCATCAGTGAATGATTCTGGAAGCAATGGCACTTGAGGAATTTTTCACTTTTTACAGATTTTAGCCTCAAGGCAGGCCAAGGGATGCCTACAACTTCACAAAACCTGCTATAGTTTTGGCTTGAAGAATAGGCTTCAGGGCATCCACAGTTACAGGAAAGTGAGGTATCCCAAAGAGCAGAAAGAAAAAGCCATAAATTTTGTGTATACACTGCCTAAATCACTAGCTGTCCCCTGAGCTACACGTGTGTGGTCAGTCTCTACTTCAGCCAGCCCAGTTAGGCTAGAAGAACTGAAGTAAGAATTGAAGTGCTGCCCAAGAGCCAAGAGTTTTCAGTTTGAGTCCAAATAAGTTAATTCCTTCCTAAAACAAACAAAACAAAGATCAGTCCTCTTCAGGGGCATATTCTAGAATCCAGAGTCTCCACATAAAATATTGACAGTGTCCAGGAAACAATCCAAATTTACATGAAATGCACAAACAGAATATGACCCATTCTCAATAAAAAAGCAATCTGAGACCACTATTGAGATAACACAGATGTTGGATTTTGAAGACAAGGACTTTAAAGCAGCTGCGTACAGTGATGTAAAGGAGACTACTCATGCTCATAATGAATAAAATAGTTAGGAAATCTCAGCAGAAAAATAGAAACCCCACAAAAGGAACTAAATGGAAATTCTGGAATGGAAAAATACAATATATGAATTTTTTGAAGTCTGCTGGTTGCGAATAACAGATTAGGACAAAAGAGAAAGTCAGTGAATTTGTAAGTCAACAGAAATTACCCAATATGAAGAACAGAGAAAAGGATCATTGGGAAAAAAATAAATAGAACTTCAGAGACCTCTGGGACAACATCAAAAAGTCTAGCATACATGTAATTTTATTTCTAGAAGAATCAGAATGGCTAATCAGTACATGAAAGGATGGTCAGCATCATTAGTTATCAGAGAAATGAAAATTAGCACTACAATAATATACCATTACACATCCACCAGAATGAAGAAAATTAAAGACTTAAATACCAAGTGTTGGCAAGACTGAAGAGAAACTAGAGGTCTTGCGCATTGTTGGGAGTGTAAAATAGTACAGTGACAAGAAAAGCTCTTGCTTTTAAAAAAAAAAAAAAAGAAAGAAAGAAACTAAACATACCCTATGACCCAGCCATTCCAATCCTATGTATTTAACCAAGAGGACTGAAAACATAATGGCCCAAAGCTGGAAACAGCCCAGGTATCGATCAGTAAAATAAACAAACTGTGATATGCTCATATAACCAAATGCAATTCGGCACTAAAGAGGACAGATTACTGGTACCACCTGGATAAATCTCAGGAGCATTCATCTGAGTGAAGGAAGGCTTACACCAAAGCTCACATACTGTATGGGTTTCACTCACATGAAATTCTCAAAAGATAAAACTATCTATGGTGGGAAAAGTCTCAGGATAGTGCTTTCCTCTGGGTGGTTGAGATTACTAGGGAGGGGCCTGATGGCGAAATTCTCTCAAAGCTAGCAGGGAAGGGTTAGGAAGAGATATCAGATTTAGCTGGAGGACTTTTTTGATACATGCGTGTCCATGAGACTACTGGCCTCCTAGGAACTGGGCCGTTATTTCTATATTGGAAAGTTCAAATATATCTAACCCCTGCCCCATTTCACCCTCTCCCATTGGGAATCACTGTGTTAGGCTATTTTCTTTTGAGCAGATAACTCAGAGGGATTACACATTAACCTGTAATAGTCAGTTACATAAGGGCCAATGCATCGGGACACCTGGGTGGTTCAGTCGGTTAAGCATCTGTCTTTGGCTCAGGTCATCATCCCAGGGTCCTGGGATCGAGGCCCATATCCGGCTCCTTGCTCAGTGGGAAGTCTGCTTCTCCCTCTGTCTGCCGCCCCCCCCCCCAGCTTGTGTTCTCTCTCTCTGACAAATAAAATATATAAAATCTTAAAAAAAAATAAGGGCCAATGCATCAGTCTTCTCAGAACCTTCCTGAGAGCCAGTTTAGAGAGGAGTGCAATGATAGTTTGGTGATTTTAGCTCATCTTTTAACATGACATTTTCTGGTGTACAGTTTTATGTGTATTTTATAAATAACCACAGCTTTTATAGTTGGCATAATTCATAGATTAATTAAAACCCCTATCACTTTGAATAAAATTTGGGCACAAAGATTAATTTTACAGTGATTTAATCCTTCTACAATCTTCAGTTAAAATTTCTACCTTATTCTTTGTTTTTGATACTCTTTGTAGATCTGTTTCTATATATACTACAGTATAAATAATAGAGACAAACTGCCATATATTTGCTTTCTAGTTACAAACTATTTTCTAGGCTTCTAAGGCACTGAAAAATGAAACCAACAACTGCTTTCCAAACAGAAAAAGTTTCACTAGATTGGTTACAGAATTTCTAATTAACTCTTATTTAAAAGACTAGCCATGTCTCTTATCATTGTTTTCTGTTTTATGCATTGCTGGAGAAGAAAGGCTGTCTCTTTTAAATAGTCTCCTGAGCATCACACATATGGTAGGTACCTGAGTCAAAGGTAGAGAGTGTATACTGTGGGCTTCCTCATTCAGAGCCTCTTCGGAAGCTCTGAAGACAATTGATCTGTATGTAAAATCTCACTTTTTCAAGCTTGCAAAGTTTAAGCTTTAGATTACCTTTTTTTATTCTTAAAAGTTTTATGCAGCTATAGCTTACCTGCCATACAATTTTGGCGACAAGGTAAAAAGTGTACACAATTCAGTGATTTTTTTTTTCTATGTTGACAGAGTTGTGCAGCCGTCAACACAATCACCTTTAGAATATTGCACCCTAGAAAGAAACCTTGGACCCATTAGCAGCCACTCTCCATTGTCCTTCCAACCTCCCTTCCCAGCCACAGACAAGCAGTATTCTGCGTTCTATCTCCATGATTTTTTTTCTTTTTGTTTTCCCTTCCCTTCCCTCCCTCCCCTCTCCTTTCCTTCCCTTCCTTTTTAAAAGATTTAATTTATTTATTAGAGAGAGAGCATGAGCAGAGGGAGAGGGACAAGTAGACTCCCTGTTGAGCAGAGTCCAATGTGGGGCACAATCCCAGGACCCTGAGATCATGACCTGAACCGAAGTCAGATGCTTAACTAACTGAGCCACCCACATGCCTCTCCATGATTTTCTATCCCTCTGATTTGCCTATTCTGAAACTTTCATATAAATGGAACCATATGAATATGGCTTTTTGTGACTGGCTGCTTTTACTTATTAGCATAATGTTTGCAAGGTTCATATAGGTTGTAGCATGTACCAGTACTTCATTTCTTTGGATGATTGGATAATATTTCATTGTATAAATATACCACATTTTCTTTATCTGCTCTTCATTTGATGGGCATTCATGTTGTTTCTGCTTTTTACCTAATAAGAAGATCATTCACATACAAGTTTTTATATATTTTAATTTCTCTTGGGTATATACTTAGAAGGGGAATCGCTAGATCAAATGGTTACCTTCTGTTTAATCTTTTGATGAACTGCCAGAGTGTTTTTAAATTGACTGTTCCATTTTACTTTCCTAACAGCGATGTATAAAGATCCCAATTTCTCCACATCCTCGCCAATACTTGTTACTATCTATCTTACTGATTCTAGCCATCTTAGGTGTGTGTGAAGTGGTATCTCATTCTGTGGGTTTTTACTTTCTTTCTTTCTTTTTTTTTTTAAAGATTTTATTGATTTATCTGACAGAGAGAGAGAGAGACAGCGAAAGAGGGAACACAAGCAGGGGGAGTGGGAGAGGGAGAAGCAGGCTTCCCGCAGAGCAGGGAGCCCAGTGCGGGGCTCGATCCCAGCACTCTGGGATCATGACCTGAGCTGAAGGCAGACACTTAACGACTGAGCCACCCAGGCATCCCTGTTTTTTACTTTCTTGAAGCTATAGGTTGCAGCACATAAGTTTTTAATTTTGATGAAGTCTAATTTATCAATTTTTTCTTTTGTTGCTTTTACTTTTTTTTTTTAATTTTTATTTTAATTCCAGTATAGTAACATGCAGTGTTATATTAGTTTCAGGTGTACAATGTAGTGATTCAACACTTCCCTACAATACCCAGTGCTCATGATGACAAGTGCACTCTTTAATCCCCATCACCTGTTTAACCTTCCCTTACCTCCTCCGCTCTGGTAACCAGCAGTCTGTTCTCTATATGTAAGAGTCTATTTCTTGGTTTTTCTCTCTTTTTTTATCCTTTGCTCCTTTGTTTTGTTTC